ACGGCACACTAGTTGGGAAACGCTACTCTACAGTGTGGAGTTAGAAGAATGCTTGGTTGTGCCAGCACTCAAGGAGTACCAATGAATGTACAAAGTCTCAGGCTGCTTCAGTTAATGTGAAAAGTTAATTTCTCCTTTACTGCTTCAGTTGTGTAGCCCAGCTCTTATTGCTGTGGGCTAGGACCTCCCTGGAATACCCTTTTTTTGATCTCTGGATAGCACTTGGGTTCTTGGTTCTGTCAGTAAAATCACTGCAAGCTGCTATCACCAGTCATTATTGCCATTTGGATAGTAACGGCTGTTTTATGTAGTTGGAATAAATAAATACCTCTGATTGAACTTTTATAGGTCTAGCAAATACTTGGTATTTCATGACTCGTATTCCATTCAGGGTCTAACCTAGATGTGGTTAAAGGGTGGAGAATTGAATCTTGTGAGATTCTGGGGTATGGGGCGTACGGACAGACGACAAAAAACTACTAGGCATAGGAAAAAAAGATGTGTACAGAAGAAGCAAAACTACTGTAGGTGAGAAGAGTCTGTGTGCATCTGTGGAAGAATTCCATATGGATCAATCCTGTGTAGCTTTTCAAGAGGATTAGAGGAGAAAATCCCTTTAACGGAAAACAATTAACTTTGGAAAGTAGTTCTGTTGCTTGGAAATCTGTTGTTTAACGATATGCCACTTGGCTTCATATAAACAGTAGACTTATAAAGTTTAAAATCCTACGGCAAGAATGTTTTAACAAGTAGATTACAGCAGAAATTAATGGAAGAAAGGACAGACAAAAAATGCTACTTAATTAAAATAAGTCCTAAACTCTGTCTTTATTTACTCTTGTTCAATGAGTTATTAATAGCCTTTTTTAAAAATACAAAACTGTTTTCAAGACGCTTTATAAAGATAGATGTACTATGGAATATTCCAGTTATGGTGCCTAAAACCATTGCCCATCAATTTTTTGGCAGTTCAAGCGTTTTTGTTAAATAACAGCTTGTGGAAAAATGTTTATCTTTAGAAAAACTGTTGCTGAGCATACGTGGTGTATCATTAACCTATGAACTTGTAGGATTTTATTGATGCTAATGGACTAGTAATTAAAATGATTGCACACTTGCATAAATAAAAAGTGTGGTGTTATGCTAACTGGAAATAGCAAAGAAAACATTCTGATGAACACCAAAGGTAACAAAGATATTTTTGTGACCCCTCTGGCTTAGTATTGTTTAGTTTTCATTATGTCTTTCTCCTGGTGCCTTCCTCTGAAGTATTTGGTATAAGCAAAATACTGGACAAGATCTGAATATTGGTTATGATACAGCAGTGTATTTTTAATTCAGTAAAAACACTGCATTTAGTAAGCACTGCATTCAGTCTTGCTTAATTCAGTAATCAAGCTTTCTAAGACTAATCGTAAACAGTTTTATTAAAACTTTACTCCAATATTTAAAGATTTGGAGTAAAATGTAATATCATTAAGAAAAGTCCCATTACTCAGCATCTATAACTAACCTGAATCCCACTTGAACTGAAATTTATTTAAAAAACTGTCAGTTCATATGGGGGGGAAAAAGTGAACTAAATGGTAATCCCTTTTTTCTTGAGCAATAGATTTTTAAAACTCAAGAAAATGTGTAAAACTTAATATTGCACCAAAACAATGTAATTTCTTTAACACTACAAAGTTAACAGAATTAGAGAACAAGTTTGAATGTGGGACCCCTCTGTTTGTAGATGTATTGTATTCAAGTGTGGGTAGTAAGCAATGAGGGAGGGTTCATCTTTTAATTTTCAGCTTACAGAAAGGTCAGTTTTGTGGTGCATTGTAAGGAAAACATCAGGAAAACCTGCTTGGCAGAGGAACTGTTCTGGCTGATTACCTTGGGTGGCTTTGGCTGAAGTCCCTAACTGATCAACTGGGATATAGGCTGTATAAAAATAAATAAATAAATAAAAATACAGAATGACTGACATTTTTTGTCCCTGTTGAGTGCCGCTGTTTAGAACATGGGTGGGCAATTATTTCAGCTGGCAGGCCACTTAACAAGTTTTGGTGAGCTGTTAAGGGTTACTCAGTCTTTCAGAAGATATTTTAACAGATCATAGATTTAGAAAAAAAAACACAAATCATTTACTAAAAATTAAACATTTGCTATGAAAAATTTAATTTTTATTCAAAAAATATTTTTGTCCTTTTAAGTAGTGTTTTATAGAGGTGATTGCATAATAGCTCAAAATGAAGTCTTGCTCGTGTGTGTAGAAGGGATGGGGTGGGTAGAAGGCAGCCTGGAGCTGGAGCCCCACACACTGGGGCTGGAGCTGCCCAGCTGCAGCTTTGCCCTCTGCCCCCTCCTCCCCTTTTGGCTGGGCATGTGCTGCCTGGCACGTACCCCCATAGCTGCTGTTGTTTTCCCACAGTACTTGCTTCCCAGAGCAGTGTGTTGGGGCAGGAGGAGATGGAGG